AAAACATAGGTGGATATGTCTGACCTCCGCTGAAACCAAAGCAGCCCCAGAGTTCCTCCCAGGCCAATTTCTGACCTAAAGACCTCAGTGATGGGCATGCCAGCATAGAGAAGCTCCTGGCCTCTTTCATCACAAATACTAGTCATAAAGGAAGCTGGTTTGCGGATCAGACCCAGCTCCTGCAAAGAAGACAGAAAAACAAGCATTTTATCAGTCATAAGCTAATTCACCGTATGCCAAAAAAGTATGGAAAAAGTATTTCTGCCATACTCACTCGAGCCCAGGAATAATCCATTGGTACAGTAGGAGGAGGCACCTCTTCAGCTGGCTGGATTACTCCTTTGGAAACAAGGTCATCATACACAGACCTGCAGAAAGAGCACAAAACAACAGATTGAAGAATCACCAGTAAGCATATTCTGTCAGCTATTCAATCTATCTTGAAAAACTTTACTGGATTGTTTTCAACAAAAATCGATCTGGCACATACAGACAAGACTGAGTGTAGATTATTGTTTTTTGTTTTTTTTTTAGGGGGTTGCTGTTCATTTAATTTTGGAATGTCTCTGTGATATCATAAATGTGGTAAAAGTGAAGTAATATAAATATATTTTCTATATGTGCTGCATTTTCTTATAAGCCACTGGAACAAACAGCTGTGCACTCACTGGATGATCTCTCCCAGCTCATCAAAGCTTTTAGGAACGTAGGCGCCAGCCTCTTTCAGAGCCTTGTTCTTGGCCACAGCTGTTTCAGAGGCTTGGTTGGCACAAGCTCCTGCATGGCCAAACTGTACCTGATAGAGAGAAACGTAACAGAAAATACAATTTAAGACACCTTCATTTTGTTAAATGTCACGACATCCAGAAGTATAATTTGACAGAAATTAAGTGAAGCATGAAATTTAGCCTCTTACCTCTGAGGTGAACATGGTAGCACAGGTACCAATGCACCAGCACACAACTGGCTTGGTAATTCTGCCCTGTTTAATAGCCTGGCAGATCTTATACTCCTCTGTCCCACCAATCTAAAGGAAGGTATTGGAAGAAATAAAAAAAAGACATAAGTCGGTTACTAGTATTAAAATATAAAAAGCTACACATTTAAAATCGATCTCAGTTCTCATTATGTTGTTTTTATCTTTAAACAATAACATTTTCTCCAGTTGCATAGAGTGACACCAAATTATCCCTTATCTTCTTATTCTTATATCTTATTCTTTATAGCATGAAACCTTGGCATGATTATACAGGTTTGTGAAAACTATGAAAGCATTATTCCTAGACAAGGGTTTTCTAATAATAAAACAAGCTCTCATCAAAGAGGGAAGCCATTTCTCACCTCTCCGAGTACAACGATCATCTTAACTCCTGGGGTGTCTTGGTAACGCAGCACATGGTCAGTAAACACAGAGCCTGGATATCTGGAGGTAAGATCAGCATCAGTTCAAACATACACACTTAAAATAATTCATATACACCGACTGGCAACTTTATTAGGTACATCAATAGATTATTTACACAAAGAGTGAAACGGCCAATCAAATGGCTGCAAATCAGCATCAAGATGTGGTGAAGACAATTTGCTGAAGGTTAAATCCAAGAGCAGAAGGGGGCAGGAAGCGTGAATTTAAATCACCTGGTTAATGATGCAAGGGTATTTTAGAGAGCCTTTGATCTATTCGCATTTTTATGCACAACTGTCATTAAAGAAAATTTTAAAAAATATCTAAAGAGAAGGAGGTATTTGGAAGGAATGTTTGGTTTGTGTTCAAAGAGACTTGACAGTCTGAGATGTTAGAAAGGGATCAGTACTTTATGAACTGCTTCTTACATCCAAGGCAAGACAATATTTAATTCTTCATGCAGAAACTAAAAAGACAAAAGTATACATATGAGTAGAAGCAACTAAAGAGTGGAGTGGAAAACTAATGCTAACGATCATATATGCTCACCAAAATCACAAGTTAATTTCTCCATTGTGAGATCAATAATGTTCTATTGTATTCTATTCTATTTATATGGTTACTACATTTCTGCACTGCCAGTGCAATAATCCAAATCAACTACTTACGTAGTAGTCTTCCCTTAGCTCATATTCCAGGACATTACAACTTTTTTTTATGCTACTTTTTAATATATACACTCTTTTTATGCTGTCTGTTTTATATTAATGGCATCTTGCTTTATCCCTGCCTTCTTTACTCTACTGGAACCAGAAGTTCCCTGTAGGAGTAATCCCAAGGTATAAATAAAGTTGAGTCTATGTCTAAGTACATTTTATTGCATTGTATTGTATTGTATTTTATTGTATTGTGTTGTATTGTATTCTATTCTATTCTACTAAAATCACACAATAACAGATGAGACTCCATTCAATGAGTCTTGAATGCAACCGCAACATTCAGTTTTTTATAATGCAGGTTAAAAAACAAACCACTGGACTTTTGTTTCGCCAAGTTTGAAGATGTTTCGCTTCCCATCCAGAAAGCTTTCATAATTCAAATTGTCTGGGGCAGTTTGGACACTCCAGACATTTTGAATTGAGGAAGCTTTCTGGATGGGAAGAGAAACGTCTTCAAACTTGGAGAAAAAAAAGTCCAGTGGTTTGGCTTTCTCACTTTTTTTGGAATGAATATGACCTGGATGACTAAGATTCTTCAAAGGCGTTATGTTGCAGGGACCAGGGAGTATCAACTAAATATCATGATTGTACCTGAACAACAAAATTACAGCGTACCCATCTCCTCGTGGTAACCTCCAGCAGGATGACGCTGCTGTTACTCTAACAACCTTCACTGTAAGAAGTTCTCAATCCAGTAGAGCCCTTTTGGGATGTTATGGAGTTATCATGGATGTGCAGCAAACTAACCTTCACACCTTTGTCATGCTATTGTTTTAATATGGACTAAACTCTCTAATGGAAAATTTAAGAATTAAAGCTCATAGTCAAAAAAAGAAACATGATCCTCACTACAGGATAAATTTGTGTCTAATAAAGTGGCTAGTGACCAATCTAAACGTACACACCTGTCCCCACCAATGGCCACGCCCTCATAAACCCCATCAGTAGTGCGGGAGATGATGTTGTTGAGTTCATTGGACATGCCGCCTGAGCGGGACACATAGGCCACGCTGCCTGGACGATACAGCTTAGAGGCAAGGATATTGTCCAGCATGCCTCCAGTGTTGCCGATCTTGAAGCAGCCCGGCTTTATCCCTCCGACCTAAATAAAAAAAACATCTTGTAGTTTTCGTAGACAGAGACATCACAGACTTATTCAAAATGATCCAATGAGAAAGGATGGAAGACTTACTGTAGCTGGGCCGATGACAGTGACCCCCTTCTCATCTGCAGCTTTAATGATCTTCCTTGTGTGTGCTTCCGGGATTCCCTCGGCAATAATTGCAATAGTTCGAATCTGAGAATTACAGAGAAGGGCTTCATTTATTCTCTTTAACGGAGACAACTTCTTTATTATGCTGCAGGATAATATTTACCTGAGGGTACTGCGTGGTCTCCATGGTGCTTTCAAAGGCTGAGCGCAAAGAAGCAAAGCTAATGAGAACATCCACATCAGGGTGCTTCTTCATAGCATCACTCATGTTTTTATACACCGGGATGAGGATCTCTTTATGGCCCCAATAGAATTTCTGTTTGTGGTCGCCACTGGAGGCCGTCCAAGCACAAAAATATTCATGACACACCCGTCAAGCTTCATCTTCAAGAATTTAGTAGGCAAGGAAGATTACCCTTACGTGAACGGGTAGATCAGAGCGGAGACGGATGGCTCATCTCTGGAGCAGACATAGTCAAAGTCCAGCATGCCCTGAACCGCTCGAGTCTGCATACCCCACACCAAAGCCTTTGTGTGTTTGGTGAAAAGAGTAGTGGCCTTGGCTAGAGAGAAATAAATCACTTAAAGATAGAAACTGACAACATAAAATCTGGTAAATGTGTTACGGTAGTAATTTCTCTACAGGAACTATTCAGTATGTCCTTGTGTGACTTTGTTGATATGAATATCATAATTGTTTTGAATGGGTTGTAGTTTGTTCATGCTGTCAAAAGAGGGAGCCCTAACACCTTAGCTCAAAATTTTTGATATGTTTTTTCTGATGAGATATGATAGTAGGAGAATTCAGGGTTAAAATGTTTTCCAGTGCGATGGTTTGGAAAGATACTCACCGACAGGAGCTCCAGTTTTCACCTTCTTGGCAGGGGAGCCCTCAACTTTAGCTTTGTTTTCAGAATGGACCTTTCTCCTGGAGGATGGAGTCTACAAAAACAGAACTAGAAATAAAGTCTGATGCCTACTTTATACACTCCGAAACTAAGAATGGAGCAGAGAAATATCAGGCCTTTAGGCTGCCTTATAAAACCTGCACTGGACATTCACTCTGTGTTTTAATATTCTTCACATGTCATTTCTCAGAAGGATGACTTGCACATTTGCAGGCCTAAACTAAAAGGTTTAAAATATATTTTTAATATATACAATTTTACTGAATACATATATATGTTTTATATATTTAAGGCAAACAACTGTCTAAAAACAAACACATGAATAGGCACAAACACACTTTGCAGAAATCCTCCACTGTGCACATTTTTAATGGAAGCCTCAGGGGCAAACTGCATGGCTCTGCTGACTGAATAAGAGCGGTGTGCAATCCTCTGCAGTAGCCTGACACAATAGAGCCACTGGGCTTCTAATAATCTGACTCACTAAAAGGAGGAGACAGCAGGGGGCTAAAACAGTGGCCCCTGTGCCAGTCCTTCATTTGCCAAACCATTGTATGCAACTGGAAAAGTTTTGTAAAATGTTGATGTAGCGTGTGTCAGCGAAGCTGAGAGCGTGTTGTACCGATGTGCTGCTGCTGGAATTGAGGAGGAAGTTGGCTGTGTGTGCAGCAACAGGAGGCTGGTTGGGAATTGGGCGGTGACCCAATGCCATGCCAACGATAGCAGTCATGTGGGTTTCTGTGCCAAAAACATGAATTGGGATCCCTGTGGTTTTCCCTGTGAATGAATAAAAGGTTAAAAAAAAGCTTTAATTACCAGACAAATTATATTAAATAAATATAGTAAACAGCAGGAAACAAGAACTGACCAACTTCTCCCATCACCCTGAGACCCTCCTGGTAGTTGGGGCCTCCACGACGAACAAAAATAGTGACCTCATGCTCCTTCAGTGGCGCCTGATAGTCTCTAATAGCTCGAACAATTCCCTGCACCAGACATAAATAAGCTTGGTGACTAATCTCTATCAGAGAGGTACTAAAGTAAATGCAGTCACAGAGCCTTCCATGCTTCATCACATGAATAAAAGGCTTTAAAAATAGTTTCTTGTTGCTGTACAAAGGTTATGGATCTCCAAAAATGTCAGTTTTTACTAATAAACAAACTGATAATAAATAAAATATTAAATAGGATTAAAAATATAACTGTTTTAAGATCATAAAAGCATCAAAACATATATAGAGCATCTTATGAATAAAAGTGTTCAGTCATTGTTTTATTTCACAGCCGTGTGCAGCCCATTGAAGTCTGTTATTTTTCTGAGAAAACATGATTTGTGTCAAATCTTTAAAGAGACAGTCGCAATGTTTATTATTTTTAAAAGATAGAAGATTTTTGAAAGAAATAAACACTGAAAGAAATATGATTGTTGTATTTTTATAAAGGTTTTCAATCCCAATTATTTTTATTATAATAACAATTACTGCATACTTAGTCTATTCAAATGTTTACAGGAAAAATGTATGTCTTCTTATAACAAATACAATCACTGGCCACTTTATTAGGTACTCCATGCTAGTAACGGGTTGGACCCCCTTTTGCCTTCAGAACTGCCTCAATTCTTCGTGGCATAGATTCAACAAGGTGCTGGAAGCATTCCTCAGGGAGTTTGGTCCATATTGACATGATGGCATCACACAGTTGCCGTAGATTTGTCGGCTGCACATCCATGATGCGAATCTCCCGTTCCACCACATCCCAAAGATGCTCTATTGGATTGAGATCTGGTGACTGTGGAGGCCATTTGAGTACAGTGAACTCATTGTCATGTTCAAGAAACCAGTATGAGATGATTCCAGCTTTATGACATGGCGCATTATCCTGCTGAAAGTAGCCATCAGAAGTTGGGTACATTGTGGTCATAAAGGGATGGACATGGTCAGCAACAATACTCAGGTAGGCTGTGGCGTTGCAACGATGCTCAATTGGTACCAAGGGGCCCAAAGAGTGCCAAGAAAATATTCCCCACACCATGACACCACCACCACCAGCCTGAACCGTTGATAAAAGGCAGGATGGATCCATGCTTTCATGTTGTAGACGCCAAATTCTGACCCTACCATCCGAATGTCGCAGCAGAAATCGAGACTCATCAGACCAGGCAATGTTTTTCCAATCTTCTATTGTCCAATTTCGATGAGCTTGTGCCTCAGTTTCCTGTTCTTAGCTGAAAGGAGTGGCACCCGGTGTGGTCTTCTGCTGCTGTAGACCATCTGCCTCAAAGTTCGACGTACTGTGCGTATCAGCTCGAACCAGTCTGGCCATTCTCCTCTGACCTCTGGCATCAACAAGGCATTTCCGCCCACAGAACTGCCGCTCACTGGATGTTTTTTCTTTTTTGGACCATTCTCTGTAAACCCTAGAGATGGTTGTGCGTGAAAATCCCAGCAGATCAGCAGTTTCTGAAATACTCAGAACAGCCCTTCTGGCACCAACAATCATGCCACGTTCAAAGTCAGTCAAATCACCTTTCTTCCCCATACTGATGCTCGGTTTGAACTGCAGGAGATTGTCTTGACCATGTCTACATGCCTAAATGTACTGAGTTGCCGCCATGTGATTGGCTGCTTAGAAATTAAGTGTTAACAAGCAGTTGGACAGGTGTACCTAATAAAGTGGCCAGTGAGTGTATGTTTACTATTATCAGCTGTATGTTTGTATAAATCTAAAAATAACTAATCAAATGATAACTATTGCCAAAAGTTAATTTTTAAAAGATAATTTACTATGTTAAGCTGACCAGAGTGAATATTAATTAGTGATCAATGATTTCCTGGTTCTCTTGGTGAATAAATGACATCAGGACCCAAGATGGATGATTAAGAGAGATTTTTTTTGCAAAGAAGATTAGTAAAAAATCTGTTTAGCCACAAATTATTTTAAAGTGCTAAAAAAAGAAGAGTTAGTAAAAAAAAAAAAATGTTAAAAAGAGGGTTATAAAAATACTGCCAGCCAAAAAAGGTTTAGGATATGTGATTTTGTATGTAAAACTGTCATTTCTTAATGTGAATTTCTTAGTTTTCTTTTCCATTGAATGAATTTATTTTAAATAAAAGTGAGATTATGCAAATAATTTAAGGAGAGAATTAATTTACAGACATAAAAGAGTGTGAAAGGGGGGGTGCAATTATGTACCTTAAATGTTGCTGCTACGTTTGTGAAGTTTGCAATGCTTCCACCAATGATCAAAACCTTTCCTAGAATTTGATAAAACACATGATTTATAATAATCATAAAAACGTGTAAAAAAGTGTCTGAATTCATATTGCAGAGAGAAATGTGAAATTTTCCTACCATTAGGGTGCTTCTCTCTTGTCATCAGAGACAGGATGGTCTTTGCATAGTCGTACGTCTGCTGTTCACTGGGTGCTCCTGAATACTCGCCGTAATTGGCCAGCTCGTCCACTCCCCCCAGGTCACAGATTGTATCACTGTGATTTTTTTTTTTTTATTCACACAAATAAAAAAACGGCAATATGATAAACATATTTTGAGATTGATTTAAAAGAAAAAAATGTGTGCGCAGAAACATTTTCCATCTGCCTGGAGCTCATGCTTCTCTGTAAACAGATAAAACTGTGCACACAGGGAGTAATTAGTCACGGCTGATATGTCTGTATGTAATGCTTATGCATCCTCAACAGACGGCAAACCATTTATTTCTCCTGAGTCTCTCTAAAAAACAACATTTAGAAATCTAATTTAGCAGACAGTTGAATGCTCTCTGAATGCTGAGTCAGATATAAACAGAGGAAAGAGTCTGGTCATATTTAGGGCAATAATAAGAAACCTTACATGTTTCGGTGAGTAAAGACGTGGTTTTGCTTTTCGTTTTTAAGGGTTTTAAATAGATTCTTGTTCGGGTACCTGTACACAACTGAGGCACCTCCTCCTGCCACCATGGTCCAGATTCTTCCACGAGGATTCAGCAGAGTCAGTTTGAGACTAGCACCGCTTTTTGCATCCAGATCAGCAATGTACGCTTCCTGAAAAATATGATCATCGTTACTCTTAGTTGAAGCAGGTTGTTACATAAAACCCTAATTAGATTATGGCTAAAATGTGCAGCATTATAACTGCTGTGAAAACACTGATGGTTGATGCTACACACATCACTGGTTGCTTGTGACAGTATGGTCCACAGCTGGTGGTTCGGTTGTAAATAAAAAAATAAAAAAAACTAGCTTCTAATCAGAGACACCCGCTGTCCCTGGTTTCTGCTCTCAAGCTCACAGCAGCCCAATTAGTCCAGACCTTCTGCTACACAGACAGACATCCCTCTGAAATGTGTCAGCCAAACAACAGAAAGACATGACAAACACTGCTTTAATGATATTCACCGTCTATGTTAGCAGTAAGGAATTGAAATTTGGTGATTAATGCAGTAGGACTGGTTCAAAAAATAGAATTTTACTGATCAATTTATACATAAGCAAGTTGTTTGTTTACATTCTTTATAATTTTCAAAGAAATCATAATGCTGTCACGTTAGAATCCTAAAGTAGGATACACATTAAAATACACCTAACGTTTTAAACAAGACTGCTAATAGTGTTTTAAACGCTGGTTCACTCCTTTTGGGTTTTTTTATCCAAAGGATGTCTGCTACAAAATATAGATATTCTATAGAATATAATAGAATATATAATGTTTTCCTAAATAAAAAACCTTTCATAATTTCTTATTAACTTAAGAAACTATATTTTTTTAGTGTGGAAATTTGTAAATGTTTAACATGCACTATATGCAAGGTTTATTTTTTTATAATCTTTAAAATTTCATAACAAAAACAGCTTTTATGTGATTATAAATTTTATTAATGAAGGTGTAATACCTCCAATGACCACTGGGTGCTTGCTCTAAAACATTTACCACATTATTCACCACCTATGAAGGAAGTAAATGGTGAGCCTCACCACAACTTTACCCTAATTTGCAAAGCCATTTTGTCCTTACAAAGAAAACCTGTTTTGGTGTCTAAAAGTACTTAACTCATACACACAAGAAAAAATCTACATTATGAGCAACTTCTTTCACACATGTACTTACATTAGACTGAGAATATTGAAGAAAATAATTTTGAAAATCATCATCAAAGAATGAACCATAAGTTGGTACAAATTGAACCATGGCCCAAGCAGAAAACAACTTAGTTTTGTATGCAAACAGTCAGGTAAGAAATGACAAAAACTGCAAAACCACCAAATATAAAGGAAACAACTGAACAGCAACCAAAAGACAAACAAGACAAAAAGAAAGTCAGACAACAAAAGAAAAGTCATCGGCGCAGCAGCTCGCTGCTTTTAGGGGTGAGTATTGGCATGCGTCTTGCGATACGATACGTTTCACGATATGATATTATCACAATATTGCAATATCACTATATATTGCAATATTTTACCAAGCTATCAAAAAGGAAATAAAGAGATAAAAAGCAAGTACTGTATATGTTCACAAGAATCCATGTTGTTTGGGGTTCTACTGTGACTGCCCCAACAATAGCTATGGAGCACTGTTTTAGGTGAAAATGTTTTTCGTTTTTTTTTTTTATGGAAATTAGTAACTGAAAGATTGATATCATATTGGGTAGACATAAATCTCGATATATCCCCAAATAGATTTTTTTCCACATCCCTATTCAGCACTGCATTCATTTAAAGCATTTTTTCTTCTTTTTTTTGCATAGATCTATTTAGAAATGATAAGACAGGGTTCTGTTCATCATAGCTCCTACTTGACATCCTCTGCAGGCCTTTTCTCTGTACAGTTGCTACATTTTCACCTTCTTACCTCAGGGTAAGCCTCCCTGCCGAAGGGGGGAGGGAACTCCACGTCACCCCACTTGGATTTGCAAATGTAATCAGCAGTTGCATCAATCTTCGCTGCCATGTCCAGCACATACACTCCATCTTTAGTCACCACTAATACAGGAAGGAAACAACATGTTTAATTTTTTTCTTTATCTATAGAAACTGGCTGAGTTAACAGATAGAACAGGTGACTCAAGGCCTTCTTGTTGTCCCAGCAGGAGGCTGAGGAAGTGAGGATGAGGAGGAAGTGGCAGGTTATCAAAGCAGCAGCGGAGCCACGTCAACATGAACAGCTGCCACAGGGCATGTACTGCTTCCAAATTACTTCATTAGGAACGCACACTGCTTTCATCAAACAGGAAGTGTCTGAATTATTTAATGTTTTCTTTCCTAGATGTTCAAAATGGGCAAAATCTTCTGTTTTATTATGCAATCCTGTTTTCCTCTGCAATGCTACTTTGATGTACTTTTTCTAATTTTAAAATATAATAACATATTCATGAATTAGTGTTTGAATAAAGTAAATGATACAAATATTATAATCTTTTACTGCAGCAGGATGTTCTCAAACTAAAAACGCTTAAAATATTTCATGTGACTCAGTGAATTACTGAGGAAACATATTGCACATACAGAAAAGATAATTTTATACTAAATCATCAGTGACATTATTATTAGAACCTATGCTGTCATTACTTTGCTACTAAGAAAGTAGGTCTAAAGACTGAGATGTTAATTATGAAGGTTCATGTTTGATAAACACCTTACTTTAGACTCAAAACAGGCCTGTGAAAAACTCCTGGCATTTAATAAATGTTCCTGTTGCCATGCTCTCCAAAAGGGTCCAATGGCAGATAACCAGACCCACAGCATCACTGATCGCCCACCGTGCCTAGCAGTGAACATCTAACCAAAGCAGGAGGTTCCAGTAAGGAAACTCCTCACTCCTTTGTTAACAAATTCTAATGTTGCTGTTATTGACTCAGTTAACCAAGATACATAAATATGCTACAGTTCTCTAAATTAGCTTTTAGGATCTTTTTTTATATACATCTGCCGTTTAATGGTGAAGAGAAAATGGTCTTTATGTCCTTTCCCATTTGCAAAATAGGGAAGCAGAAAAGCATTGATTAATAGATAGACATTCCTGGAAACGTAAAAAGCTTAAAAAGAAATTTACATGTCTACAAAAAAAGGGTACAGTCACATTTATTAAGAATATTTGACGGATGACCTAGTTAAAAAATAAAACTTGAACTACATTTTTTTCTCCAGTTTAATAAAACTGGATAGACTCTAGAGGTTGGATAATTGTTTTAAATATTATTATAATAATACTGCTGCAATAAAAGATGATTATGTTTAAAGACATTTTACACATATATACAGTGGCCAACAAACTTATTCAGATCTGTGGGTTTCTACAGACTGGATCAATAAAAACAACCTACCAAGAGGGTTGATCTCCAGGTATGTGAAGAAGAGGTCCTCATAAAGGTGGAAGAGTCCAACAATAAAACTAGCAAGAACCCTGAAAAACAATAAGGAACAGATGTTTATGGTACAGGATTTCAAAACAATAAATGTTCACTCCTTTCAGGGGGTCGTTAAAATGAAATGAAAATATTATTTTTTAAAGTTTGAAATCAAGGTTTACATTTTTTCTAAGCCATTGATGCATCTTTTTCTGACAAACAGAAGTAAAAAAGCAAACATTTTGAAACATCTCTAAGTTCTAAAAGATAAAATATAATCCACTGTGCAACAAACAAAAAGCTTAGAACCAAACAGAATGTCCAGCAGTTATACTGCATTCAATGTGCAAATAAAAGAGAAAGATTTTACACTTTATCTCATAAACAATACCCTTTTTCCCACATTTTTTTTTATCCTGTACAGAAAATTATGCAAAACCAAAAATCCACTTTTTTGGTGCTGGATCAGAAATATCTAACAAATAAAAATAAGAAAAAAAAATGCAATGTGTTCAGAGGTAGAAATGGTATTTAAGTTTGAGACTGTTAGCGTATGCATGCATAGAAATAGGAAATTCTCTCTTCAAGAACGTATGTGTATAGGCTAAGGGTTTGTAGAAATTTACAGCTTGTTAATTTATCAAATAGCAAACGTAACTAAATGTTTGCAGAACATCAGCTAAAAAAAAAAACATTCCACCAGTAAATTATATGCAGAGACATTTGATTTTCCTCCACCATCACATTATCCAGACAGTGAGGTGGGGGATAAAGAGCCGGAGAGGCGGGGTGGCATTTTGTTGTCCTCTCTCGCCTGTCAGTTCAACAGGCAGCTCATAGATTTGAAGCCACACAGGGCCCTGGGTGAAAGCAGTTAGAAGACCCCTGAGCGACTCTGCCACCCCCCTGTCGGCTTCTGCAGGGAAGGGCAGACAAAAAGCAATCTGATTTTCAGTCTGAAGCGTGTGTTTGGGCTGAGGACTGGCAGAGTGCTTTCAGGGGTTTCTTCCTCAATGTCAGCCAAAACAGTGAGTCCAGCCAGAGTATCCTGTCATGACAGCACAGCTCAGGAGATGGATTGGCGGGGGTCAGCAGGGGGATATGCCACTGTACGCCTCTATAAAAACACATGGACGTGCTTTGAATGTTGCTGGAACATTGAAAAATAGGCTGAGGGTGGAGGCTGACGGAAGAAAGGCACAGCCAAGGAGGAAAATGTCATTTGTTTAATGGAATCATGAGCCAATTTACTCCTCCTCTTCCCTGGCATTTACAATATGAGACTGTTGGTCCTTTATCAATTTGTTGGTGCAGTTTGATTGTATAATTTGGAAGTTGAGCTTTTTTGTTTGCTCTTGTAAAGGACAGTTGTAATATAAATATTTCAATACATTACTTTGATGCTAATTAAATCCAAATCGTATATTTTTTCTACTCACGCTTTCTTGTCATTGGGAGCCTTAGTCAGCAGCTCTTTCTTTACTTGGTCTTCACTGATCTTTTCATCAACCCCAATTAGAAGCTTCTGCGCCTTGGCGTCCACATCTCCCACATCCACCCCTCCCTCATGGTGAAACAGCACGTAGTCCCCCTCCCGAGAAGCATAGATGCACATGTAGAACTCCTCCTCCTAACAGGTGGAATATGGAAAGAATGTTAGTGCACAAGACCTTTGGTTAAACACTGCCTCAGATCCATCATCCATCCATCCATCCATCCATCCACCCATCCATCCATCCATCAATCATCCATCCATCCATCATACGATCTATCCATCCATCCCATCCATCCATCATCCGATCCATCCATCCATCCATCCATCCATCATCCGATCCATCCATCCATCCATCCATCCATCCATCCGATCCATCCATCCATCAATCATCCAAAACATCTATCTATCCATCATCCGATCCATCCATTCATCCGTCCATCCTTCCATCCGTCATCCGATCCATCCATTCATCCATCCATCCTTCCATCCATCATCCGTTCCATCCATTCATCCGATCCATCCATCCATCCATAATTTATCCGATCCATCCATCCATCAATCATCCGATACATCTATCCATCCATCATCTGATCCATCCATTCATCCATCCATCCTTCCATCCATCATCCGATCCATCCATTCATCCATCCATCCTTCCTTCCATCATCCGATCCATCCATCCTTCCATCCATCATCCGATCCATCCATTCATCCGATCCATCCATCAATCCATAATTCATCCAATCCATCCATCCATCAATCATCCGATACATCTATCCATCCATCATCTGATCCATCCATTCATCCATCCATCCTTCCATCCATCATCCGATCCATCTATTCATCCATCCATCCTTCCATCCGATCCATCCATCCATCCATAATTCATCCGATCCATCCATCCATCAATCATCCGATACATCTATCCATCCATCATCCGATCCATCCATTCATCCTTCCATCCTTCCATCCATCATCCGATCCATCCATTCATCCATCCATCCTTCCATCCATCATCCGATCCATCCATCCATCCGATCCATCTATTCATCCGATCCATCCATCCAT